TTTCCCAGTAAGTCCGTCGCGACAGTTGCCATAGCAACAAACCTATCTGTCTGACTGACCATCTCTGGGTGCAGTGGGTGGTCCGTGCACGAGGCACCATACATTTATTCAGTCGGCCGCCAGCTACCCGCGAGGACGTACTAAACTTTCGTTGTACCAACTGACAAACTATTTGACTTATTTGACTCATTTGCCGTATCAACAATACTTACAACTGGACCCCTGAACGTATTCAACTAGTAACGCTTCTACTGTTAGACGAGACGAGCCCGCAGACGAGCCCGCACTCCGCGTGGCCGTACCCCGGACCACTGAGAACAACTGCCCTCCTCTCCACCAGCGATAACAGACTCCCAAAACGGTGAGTTCATACGTGCTTTTATTTAGGGTACACTTTTAAACAGGAGCGTTGACAGGTATCATATACAATTATGGTAGGAGTGTATTTTATGTATAGAAACCTTCCGTGTTTGGAGTCCTGATGACGACTTCACATTTCGGATCGTTCATCTTATGACGCCTTACATTCTCCCCTGTAACCACCCGACCTGTTCAGTGGTTGTTTTGTGTGGCTTTTTGATTGTGAAACGTGTCAATGTTTTGCGCTGGACATGTCAGCCTTGTCTACAGCTGAATTCTATGTTTCTTTGACTTGAATATGAAATGTAGCGTTACACCTTGTTTTGAAGCAAATGTAGCGCTGGACTACTTTAGTGTTTCCCACAATAATCTGCCTTTATTTGATGTCCATTGCAATGTGTGTGGGGGCATTCTAGACAGATAAGCCAAACTTGTCTTATTGCCCTCGATAAACAGAAACCGTCCTGCTTGTGGAAAAGGACGCGAGGAGAGAGCACATGGATGCTCTGATTGGTCGATTCCGGAAAAGTTTGAGCGTGGCCCGTGCGATACAAACAAGGAAACCCCGTTCGGTACAAACGGAGAATTCCCCGTGCACTGGTCAACGTAAACCTAGCGGGCGAGGATCGGCTTTCGTGTCCGGCATAAATTTCCATATGGCCCACATAGCGAGTCGACATAGAACTATTTTCACGGCCAATGCAAGGCATGTGGCGTGTGAGATTCTGAAACACGTGGTATCTGGATGTCTGGGAGAAGCAGGGCTGCCATTGGTCGAATTAGGTGTCAAGCTTGTTGTTGGGCAGGGCCAAAAATAGTTTATACTAAACAAACTTCAGATTTTAGTAGCCGAGTCCTAAGGCTCAATGAGAAGCGAAATCTTCAAATAGGAAACGAAGCTACCTTCTTGCCAAAATAAGGAAGCCACTTCTTAACATATTTACAGGTAAAGAAGTAAGGTTATAAGCGTTTGTTTCCTCCTTTTCAGTTCCCGCGATAATGACACGAGGCTAATCACCGCTGTTTCCCTACAGTTGCCCAGGCCGGCGGGCGTGGAGATACGTAGCCCCTTTGCCTTCTCTCAACCAGGGATACAGACATAAAAAAGGTGAGTTCATTAAGTACTTTTATCGATAATTCTACAGGGTGTGGATGTTTGGTAACGTCGGCCAGTTTTGGCTAAGTTAATTTATGAAGCGCGGAAGGACTGATGCAGTTAACAGCTGTCATGTCAAGTGTACTTTTGACGCACATTCTATATCAGCCTTGTCTTCAACTGTTTTCTACGTTTCGATGACTTGTTTAGGAAATGTACACCTTGTTTTGAAGACTCATTTCAAACCGCTACCATTTGCTGTGACTTTCGCACCACGGTATGTTTTGGCCGAGATCTTTATGAGGCGCGGTGTGAGGCATATTACTGTTGACTAACTTGCCGTGGATAGAGGGTAGCCATTTAAACTTGAGTTTTGTCAGGTATCATATACAATAATGGTAGGAGTGTATTTCATGTATAGATACCTTCAATGTGTGAAGTCCTGTCTATTGTTTTGTCCTGACACTAGCAACAAGCCTCACACCTTATCAGACCAATGACAGCCTTTCTTCTCTCCATACAGTTGCCATGTGCCTTAGCTAACTAGTGCGCAAGCTCTAGCCGGTAGTTGCCGTGCTATAGCCGGGACAATCACATATGCCAGAAGCCGTGGTCACAGCTGACTCAAGCCTCCCGGTCACAGAGCTGATCATGACAACTGACTCCAGTCTCCTTTGTGTAAAATTTTGTTTCGTTATTGTTGATGATGGTAGAAGGAGCATGTTGATATCATATGTGTATTAAGTAGCATCGTCGACAGAAAGAAGGCAACATGGGAGGGAACCAGATAGTAGCAGAGCCATCACGTGCAGGCTATGTAATGCATTGCTAGCCACAGTAAACCTTACACCAGTTAGAGATTACTGGGATGACTTACATTCGTCTGTACTACGATGATACATTGCCTGTGTTTTACGGTATCTTAGTGTATATATTGTAATGACCTATTTTATATGTATTTAGAAAACCTCGCCAATGACGGTTCAAATCGAATCGAGGAGAATGTACACATTTTGAAAACCATGACTATGCTGAACAATCGGTGTATATGGGAGCTGTGGTACGATTGCACTCTCTAACTAACTTGTAAGAGGATGATAGTGCAAGACCTGATGAAAGTCCGAACAGTTCCCTTGTAATTACTTAGACAGTTCTCTGTTATTGTAGTCCCTGTTATTGGTCCGGTTACAAATATGTGTGCTGAAGTGATGTACCACTGTTATGCGGTAATACACAATATAAAGACACAGGATTTCTACGACAAGGGACGTCAGTTCAAGAAGGAAAATATAACTCAGTTAAGACTGAAAGGGTTAACGTAGCCAGTATCATATAGTCATAGCCAGTCCGTCTTAAAAGTCTCCCGTGCCCAGTGTGCGGAAAGCCTTGTCTCTGCGTCTTTCCTTTATCCTCACAAAGTTGCATTGAAAAGAACTTGAATGCATATGTTGATTTGATTATATGGATGACATCCTCTGGGAACCCCAAAACTGATGCGCACGTGCGAATAAAAAAAGTTTTGCAAAAAAGAAAAGTTGCTTTCACTATGAAATCTACGTGGTCATGAAGGTTGAACAAATGGCACAGAATATGTTATAGCGAATAATCTACTCTTCGAATTCATTTTTTTACATTCTTTCCTTTGATTTTGGCATTCTATAGCTACGACATTGGTATCGTTTCTAAATGTTTTCCTTACAACTTATGGTAAATTTTTGCTCATTTAGCAACTGTTTTGCATGATTTACAGTATGGTTGAAAACTTTTTTTTGGGGAAACGGTCGAAAATTCATGCGCGCACGGATGTCATCCATATAATCAAATCAACATGGCCTTATGTCCAAACACATACTTTTCATAAAGAGAAGGAAAACTACTAGAAAAAAACAACCACCAAACGCGGTGACATATTGGTTTATATTCAGACAATCACGACATCTGCTTTGAAACATCTGACTTCAAATGCTGACCTTGTTCAATTCCAAACAATGATGCTGTCCAAGCTGTCGGAAAAGCTCCAAAGTCATTGAAAAACAGCTAAACAGCTGGGAGGGAATACCTCACCCGCTAGGTGTTGCCAAAAATGAATTCCCTGGGAGGGAAGACCTCACCCGCAAGGTGTTGCCAAAAATGAATTCCCTAGGGAATGCGTGCGTGGAATATTTAGAATTCCTGGCAATTCAATCGCAGTACTATACTAAGGGCTCCGCCCCTGAGGCGTCGCCAAAAACAACATGGTACATACAATGGCTAAAACAAATTGTAATAAAATGCCAGTACAGAACAGATCCTTTGTACACAATGTAAGAAGTAAAGTCAGAAACATAGGTTCACAAACACACTGTTAAAAAGAAATAAGAACCAGTCCATTTGCGAGATTGGGAAGGAGACAGTCATGGACATTAGTCAATCTTTGTATCTATCCACTTTCATACATGTTAAGGGTAAAAGCTTAGGGTTGGAAGGAAAACCTGATTCTGTTCATTCCTGAGACACACACACACAGACACGCCAAAAACAATACCTCCATTTTTCATGGAGGTAAAAACTCCTTAGCATCTACTCTTTTTATTTTTGCCCCCACAAGTTGGAAGTACTTTAACACACTTCAGGGCATCATGCTTACGCATAACTTTAACAGTCAAACGTTGCTGTCAACATACATGTATATGCCAAGAAGGTTAAATTGGACGAGACCACGACGACCTCAGACTATAAGCGCTGTGAGGGGCAAATCTCAGTGTGAGCTGTTACAGGAGGGCGTAACTCTAAGAAGGCCACTAACAAGAAATCACCTACAGGTCGTCTCAGAAATTCAAAACTTTATTCACCTGTCTTGGTTTACAGTATTTTAAATGTTTTGATTTCTAACAACAAACATTTTTTTGTAAGCGTTTGTAACAGAAAATTCATTAGCAGCTTTATTATTATTACACATGAAGTATTTCGTTGATAGTTGAAAGCAAACGACAAACGCCATGTGTTGTAGAACTACAGTAACTATAGGTCGAACTTTTGGTACCCTCCTTTGGCTACTGAATAACCGAGACTGCGCTGGTGACCAAATAACTTCTGGGTGTGACAATACTGTAACTTTTTGACCGGGGACATGATGCGTTTTTTTTTTTTCAAAATCGGTTTTGTACTAAACCCTACCCATCAGTGAGAAGAATTTTCCCACAGCTGGTTACCTGGTGAAATATTACAGTCTGGGCAGAACATGTCGCACTGTAAACATATTGCGACAACGTTGATAGTAACCTTTTTTTATATATATATAATAACAAAACAGTATGTTATAAAACAAGTTGTGCGTTTTTCGTTAACGTCATGGAATGGCGTTAATTTGGCGTGCTCTGTTCGATTTGTCACGCCTAAAGATATACTTTGATGAGTTCGTTCAAAAAGACCACCTGTACTGCATGTAAGAATCAAACTGTAGTAAGGTACTCCTAGTCTACAATGTTCAGACTACAAATTTCTGCTCTAAGAGTTTCAAAAGGTGAACAGGTCGGTGGTTGTGGTCTCTCTGATGTGACGGAGTTTACTCTCCCTTCTCGTTCGTCTCCCGGCGCTCCTCCTTGCCGAGTTTACCTGCTGGCTCCATCCACACGGGGCTGGCGGGGCGGCCTGCTGGCTCCATCCACACGGGGCTGGCGGGGCGGCCTGCAGGCTCCATCCACACGGGGCTGGCGGGGCGGCCGAAACGCTTCGCCTTGTCCACGGTGGCTCGCACCTTCTCCTGGAGGAGGAGCAGGGAAACAATCATGGCGCATAGGCCGACCACAGCCCTTTGGTAGTGTAAAATTGTATTTTTTGTAGATTTTGTAGATTTCGATGTAAAATTGTATTTTTTATCCTGTATTATATGTCATTCAGTTTACGTTTTACTGAAGCACACTGTAATGACAGTTCTGTGTGTGTCTGTAACATCTAAGGACGATTGGAGTTATGTCTCCGAAGGTAGCAGAAGATAACAAGAATTCCGAGGTAGATTTCATACCTCCATGAAATGTGGGCTTGATATGTAAATGTGAATTTCTTCTTTAATTATGCAAATGACCTCTGCATTAACATGATATATGCATCGTGATGTATGTTAACTTTTGATTAACTTACAGAATTCCCAAGTATGACATTCCCGGCCATCATTCACCATTAAGAAATCATAGAATTCTCGCATCAATTATGCAAATTAGGTCATCATTTGCATAATTAGTATCTGTTGATGTTCCGCCTGCAATAGGTTACATACAATACATGTATGAAAGTAGTATAATGTAAAACACTGTAATTATAGAATTTCCTCATTAATTATGCAAATAAAGTCCTCATTGCATAATTTGCATTTAATTATGTACATCTCTCTCTCAGCTACCTACACACCAAAAATTATGAAAATATGTTGTTCCTATCTGGACTTATTGGCTTTTAAACATTTCGCCAGAGAGTGCCCTGCAGTTCCAGAACAAGCTGCTAGGGGGACCAAACTCACAAAACTTATTCCTGACAGGAAAAGCAATTTGTCACCAAAACATCAAGACCATAGCATGTTCAGCACAAAAGATACAAAACCGGAAGTTCTGCTGCAGTACCAAGGTCATCCACCAGGAGGCCCATATTTGACCTTGACCTTTGTCTTCCTAAGACTTGCCAACATACCAAATATCATCACAATCCATAAAGGCGTTATGAAGTTATGCTGATTACAAATGTGCGGAAACACAAACACACACACACACACACACACACACACACACAGAGACACGCCAAAAACAATATACCTCCATTTTTCATGGAGGTAATAAACAGATGATATGTAACGTTACCTGCGTCTCTGTACGGCATCTGTCTGACGTGCCTCCAGCGCCTCCACTGTGGTCTTCTTCGCCACTCGGGCCCGACGCTTCTCCATGCGGGCCTCCATAGCGGTTCTCTTCCTGCTCTCCCGAGTAGTGATCACATCCGACTCGCTCATTGCCGGTTTGATGAAGAAAGCGGTGGACTTGGCACGTGATGGCTTCTTCATTTCCTTCCTAGCTGCCTGATTGGCCAATTTCCGGGATCTTTTGGCAATAATGTCCTAAGGGAATATTGAAGGGAAGATTAGTACATGCATCTATATTCCAAACTTAAGAGCTTTTCCTTTTGTTCTTGCCTGTCCATATTTCCATCTACCTATTACGTTCTTCTATTTAAGTACGTTCTTTCTTTCCACAACACATTTGCAGATATCTGAGGATAAACTTACCCGTCTTCGCTCGTCGGCTTCATTCAGCTGCGTCCGCAGTTCGGTGGGGGTTTCGGCGATTCGCTTCTTCACCATCTCCCGCCTCTCCTCCATACGTTTGTCCAACTTCTCCAGCCTGACTGGGCGGCGCGGCGGCGGGCTGTTCGACTCGACATCCGCCACCTCAAAGGCCACGGAGGTCGGCTGACATTTAATGGGAATTACTCCCGCCTGTCGCAGGTCGGCTAGTACGTCGTCCGACGACTTGGTAGACCTGGCTTGGGACAGCGGAGCCTGTGCGACTTGCACGAGGAATACTTCTGCAATAAACCGTAACACGGTTTAAGGGGGCACACCCCAGTTTATTTGGGGCCTCTTTTCGAAGCTGCACACCCTCAAATCTAGCGACCGTCTCTGGCGTGGAATAATTCGGAAGGAGAATAACTGTATATGGGACGAAAGGGTATCTCTTCAGCTACAAGACAAGCTGAGTTTGGTTTCTTCAACCTTTTTAAGTTTGGTAAAATCAACGGAAAAACATTATTTTCACTCCAAAATTAATGCCCAAAATTGCAAATTTTCGCGTAGGATAATCCCACAAAAAAAAATTTCCGGCAGAAATGACTGATGCTGGCAGAAAGACCCAAGCCTTGACTATACCCGAGTAAATTATAAAGAAAATTCTAGTACTGTAATTTTCTAAACAGTCCACGGCGCGAGGGGTTGCAAATCCACCCCTACGAAGCCACAGAGCGAAAACTAGGTCAAACGGGCGGATTACACTTGGCGCGCAAGGATACCCGGAAGTAAGGTTCGGAGCCAAAAGAAATTTTCACCCCAAAATCACCATTTCTTACACTCTTCAGCCATGTTAATGT